TATGCACTAATTTGTATTTGACTACAATTAATGATTACTTTTATTTAGATAACATTACATCTGCTGAGCATTTTCTCTATTACTCACACTTCTAATATATGTATCATCTTTTTCAGTTGTAAAGCTGCTTGTGGCAACCTCCTAGTGATGGTAAGTAAAAGACTACTACTAACTACTACTACTACTAATGCTGGTACAAGGTGATTTGTATCATTGTCATTTGTTCAATGTGATGTGCTAATTCTCTTTATTCTCCTTTTAGTATTTTGACATTACAAATGAGCCTTTTTTCCTACATGGTGGTAATTATAACAAAAACAAATTCTCATTTAAACACATTTTATCAATGGCCTACTTGTAAAGTGCTTCTACCCAAAGCCCCTTTTTTTCCACTGCACAGTACCAGCTTGACTCAACTCGCCTTTGTTTGGTTTTCCATTTTGTAAAAGTTGTACCTGTACTGTAGATTTCGAATATTGACAGTTTTACGAGAAGTGATGGCGGAACAAAAATGTGGTTGAAAGTTTTCGGAGTTGAGGAGCTCCGCAAGTGGCTGCGGGGGAAGCCTGTACCAACCCACGGGAGGAGCGTGTGAGGCCGGCCAGCCGCCCGCTCACAGAGCCCTCTGCTCCCGCTGTCACACAGACCGCTGCAGCAACAACGGCAGAGGAAAACACAGCTGGAAGGTTTTCATACTGCTTATCTGTCTTTACATTCTGAGGAATGTTAAAACGTTTTAACGTAAAAAAGAGAAAGCTGTGTGGATCGCTGATGTGTGTGCTTTGACATTACGTCACGGCAGTCATGTGTGTCCGAGTCGAGTAGAGTCGAGGCGAGTTGAGAGAGCCCGTTCTCATCTCAAGGCGTCATACAGTATACCGATGATTTGAGAAAGAGTGACAAAGCGCTCTGGGGCATCCCGTACAGACCGGAAGTGCTACGTTCATGATAAAGGTGTTGACAGGCCCCCGAAGCCCCTACTCATACCACAACCATCAGAAATGTTAGTACCTAAATCTAAGTCAGTGAATGTATGCATGTCGACCGGCTAACCCTACAGCCTCACGGGCCGATGTGTGCAGCTGTAGGGTTAGCCTCCCTTGTGTTGCTGCAACGTAGGAAACGGGGGTGTTTCATACATCTCAAACATTCAACAAGAGGAACAAGAAGAAAAGTATTTTTAGTCGAGGGATCTAAGTAAAAGATGTTCAAATCAAAATGTATTACAAAAATAAATAAAAAAACATAGACGTTTGTCTCATGTGTACGTTAATGGGGGATCAAACAAAAATAATTTATATTATATTTAATTAATAATTTCCTTTCCTATTTATTATAAAAGTTTGAGTTAG